CAGGACTCCGCGGGCCGCGGCCTGCGCCTCGCCCCGCCACGGCCGCAGGCTCCCGAACGGCTACTACCCGGTGCACGGCGCGCCGCGGCCCCGCGCGCCCCGGAGAGGCCCGCACGACGCCTACAGCGAGAGCGAGGATGACTGGTGCTAAGGCCGGGGCGCCGCTCTGCTCAGGGCCACCGCCCGGGCGCACCGGCAGCCGGAGGGTCCCAGCCCTCTGACCCTTCGTCGCCCCGCCACGGCCGCAGGCTCCCGAACGGCTACTACCCGGTGCACGGCGCGCCGCGGCCCCGCGCGCCCCGGAGAGGCCCGCACGACGCCTACAGCGAGAGCGAGGATGACTGGTGCTAAGGCCGGGGCGCCGCTCTGCTCAGGGCCACCGCCCGGGCGCACCGGCAGCCGGAGGGTCCCAGCCCTCTGACCCTTCGGGAGACCTTGGAGAAAGACGAAAATAATAAACTAGCATTTTTAACAAAAAGAACAAAAAACCGGGGAGAAAACCAGAAATAGCTTCTATTGATGAGTTTTATCATCTCAATCAAATCTTTCCTTTTCCCTGGTGAACGAAACAAGGTGACTGCAGGTGGTGAAACGAGCACAGACGCCCACGCCACACCTCAGACCCACCGGAGTGCTTGCCGGCCACGCCAAACCTATTACTGCCTGCAGAGGTCAACTACAAGAAAGTAACAAGCGATTTTAAAAAGGACAAAAAAAGATTAAGAAAAAAAAAAAAGCATTTTTTTTCTCTGACATTTGGTCCTGCTTGACATAACAAAAGAAAAAAAGAAAAAAAAAATGACCACCACCACTGATTCCCTGGCTTCATTTTTTCCTTTATCTTTTTAAAAAAAAATTTTTTTTTTTTTCCTACCTTGTTTGAACAAAGCGAGGGCTTGGGACTGTGAATTATTGCATGACATTTAAAAGAACAAAAAAATAATAAAAGGCAAAAAAGTTGAATCCAAGGGCTTCTGAACTGGAGTGTTCTCTGCCCCTTGTGCCAAAAGGGGGGTGGAGTGGAAGAGGGGAGGCGGTTTGTAAACTGAAAGAACCAGACTTGGCCGAGTCCTTGCCTACCATATACGAAGGCCCTGCCTTCCATCCCTAGCATCACACAAAAAAGTTAAGGGCACCTGTGCCCCTCGGGAGACAATTCCCTCTTTGAGGCAGTGGCCCTGGCCTATGCCCAGCCTCTGGCACCTCCCACCTCTAACTTAACAAAATGTGCTGCCTGGACTTCGTCCTCTTGGACGAATTTCCCCAGGCGTTCCTAAACAATCCACCCACCACAGCCAAGGAAAATTTCTGCAGGTCAAAGACTGGAGCAGTCTTTTTAAATTTTTTTTTAAATTTTGTGTGTATGAGTGCATTGCTGCATGTAAGTGCACCTACGTGTCATGCAATATTGGCAGAGATCAGAAGAGGGCATTGATCCCCTGGAAGTGGGGTTAGGGATGGCTGCTAGGTGCCATGTGGGTGCTGGGAATTGAACCTGGGTTCTCTGCAAGAGCAGCCAGTACTCTTAACTGCCTGCCATCTCTCCAGTCCCAGGGTGGTTTTTTGTTTTGTTTTTAAAGACTTTTATTATTTATTTGGGAATAAAGTTGTACAAGAGATGCCCAGGTGGTCAAAGAGGAGCTCAGATACCTGGAGCTGGAGTTACAGGAGGTTGTGTGCTACCAGATGTGGGTGCCAGGAACTGAACTCAAGCCCTCTAGAACAGCAGTAAGCACTCTTAACCCATGAGCCATTTCTCCAGCCCCAGGGGCCAGGGTTCTCACACAGGGCTGACCCCTTCACCACACCGTCACCCCACCACCCACAGTGTGCTTGGCTGTCTGCTGCCACTGCAGTCTTCCAGCCCTCTCACATAGGCTGGAAGGTGGTGAAAGCCCTACCCAGCCCTTTGTTAAAAAAAGATTTATTCGCCGGGTGTGGTGGCGCACACCTGTAGTCCCAACACTTGGGAAGCAGAGTCAGGCGAATCTCTGAGGTTAAAGCCATCCTGGTCTATATATTGAGTTCCAGGCCAGCTGGGGCTATGGGAGACCCTGTTTGAAACAAACGAAAAAAAAAATTATTGATTTTATTTTATGGGCCTGAGTGTATTGTCTGCATGTATGTAAGTGCACCTGTGTCATGCAATACCTGTGGAGGTCAGAAGAGGGCATTGGATCCCCAGGAACTGGAGTTATGGATGGTTTTATTGATTTGCTGATTTTTGAGGCAGAGTCTTACTATGTATCCCCTGCTGGCTAGAGCTGGCTATGTAAACCAAGCTGGCCTTGAACTTACAAAAATTCATCTGCCTCTGTCTTTAGAGTGCTGGGATTAAAGGTGAGTACCACCATACCCAGCACCTTTAAAAAAAAGCCATGTGTAGTCCAGGCTGGCCTTGAGCTCTACTAGCCAAGGATAACCTTGAACTTCTGATCTTCCTGCCTCTATCTCCTGAATGCTGGAAACGCAGGGTTTATGCATGCTAGGTATATTAGGTTCATTTCTGTTGCTGTGATAAAAGACCCTGGCAAAACCGACTTAAGGAGAAAATGTTGATTTTGGCTCACAGTTTATGTGACAGTCTATCCTGGGCAGCAGTGTGAGGCCAGCTGTCACACTGCATCAGCAGTCCTCAAACACAGCAAAGAGGAAGTGGCCTCAAAGCCCATACACAGTGATGTATTTCCCCCAGCAAGGCTTCATTCCTGAAGGTCCCATAACCTCCCCAAATATGCCACAGCTGGGGACAAGGTTTTAAAGCACAAGAGCCCATGGGGGTATTTCACATTCAAACTATAACAGGCAAGTGTTCTACCAACTGAGCTACATGCCAATCCATCTGCCACCTTCTCAAAGAGAGTGTGTGGAGAATGGGAGGACAGAGGGCTCTCCCTGCCTCTGCTGAATCTCAGGTATGATAGTAGTTCATTTTCTGCTGCTGAGTGTAAAGGTGGTGGTGGGTAAGAGCACTTGCTACACAACTATCAAGAGCTGAGTTTGAATTCCCAGCACTCACATAAAAGCCCCACATTCCTGTAACCCCAGCACTGAGTGGAGCAGACATAGGAGGATGGCTGAGGCCTGCTGGACACCAGTCTAAATCCAGGTTCAGTCTGTCTCCAGGGAGTAAGGTGGGGCGGTAATGGAGCAGGAAACTCAATGTCCCCCTCTGGGATATTTACATATATCACACACATACACAAATACACGCACATATGCACTATACTCACACACATACAACTTACACAACACATACACCATACACACAACACACACATATACCATACACTGTGCTCACACCCATACACACACATGCATGCATACAGCACAAGCACATACACACAGACACATATACACATACTTAGTACCATACACTGTGCTCACACCCATACACACACATGCATGCATACAGCATATGCACATACACACAGACACATATACACATACTTAGTACCATACACTGTGCTCACACTCATACACACACATGCATGCATACAGCATATGCACATACACACAGACACATATACACATACTTAGTACCATACACTGTGCTCACACCCATACACACACATGCATGCATACAGCATATGCACATACACACAGACACATATACACATACTTAGTACCATACACTGTGCTCACACCCATACACACACATGCATGCATACAGCACATGCACATACACACAGACACATATACACATACTTAGTACCATACACTGTGCTCACACCCATACACACACATGCATGCATACAGCACATGCACATACACACAAGACATATATACACATACTTAGAAAAGGAAAATGGGCAAAGCAATAGCATAGTAGGCAGCTTCCCATTACTGCATTCGAACACATAAAGCAACTGACTTACAAAGGGAAAAAGACTGAACTGACAGCAACTCAGTGGGTAGAGTACTTGTACCGCATAAACCAGGCATCATGGTACGCACCTGTAATCCCAGTATTTGGAAAGTGGAGGCAAGGGTATCAGGAGTTGAAGGCCACTCAAGGTTACATAGCAATTTGGAGACCAGCCTGGGCTACTTGAGACCTTGTCTCAAATTTTTAAAAAAGAGCTGGGCCTGTTAACACATACCTTTAATCCCAGCACTTAGGAGAGGCAGGTGGATCTCTATGAGATCAAGAACAACGTGGAGTTTCAGGCCAGCTAGGGCTATGAGGAAAGGAAACCCTGTCTCAAAAAAAAAAAAAAAAAAAAAAACAACAAAAATATATTTGGCATAAATATTTTCATGCAGACTCCTGCCCAAGGCCAAGCAACCACATGTGCTGGCACAGCACAGCAGAGGCAGGTGGCAGAGCACAGGAGCCAGGAAGATGTTACAGTGCTCTACTCCCCCTAAGGCCATGTCTCTGATGACCTGAGCACTTACTTCTAGGCCCCCTCAAGGACCCACAGCACCCCATTATCTACACTAGGGCCAACTCGATGAGCAGCAGACCCGGCCTGAAACTCGCTATGTAGAACCAGGCTGGCCTTGAACTTACAGAGAGCTGCCTGCCTCTGCCTCCTGTGTGCTAGGATTAAAGGCGTGCGTCTCCACATGCAGTTTGCATTGTATATATTTTAAATTAAGCAGCAAAAGAGCCCTTAACCAAACTCAGAACTTGGAAAGGTTTTGACCTGGACTTTTGGGTCTCCAGAGATGTGACCAACTACTGTGTATAAATGACCTGGTCTACAGTGCTTTGCTGTAACAACCCTAAGGGTCGAAAGCAGGGAAGTCCGGGAACCCTACCCAACTCTGTCTACCCAGGCTATCTTACTGAAGTTGGCTCAGGCGGAGGCTGTGTCTTCTGTACACAAGGACAAGTCACCCATGTTGACGGATGCCCTGTAGAAGACCAGGCAGATGGTTACAGCAGACACAGGCTGATGTCTCAGAGTGGTATTTTCTGAAGCTACAAACCCAGAAATCATTGTCGGCCACCCAATGCCTGAATTTGTAATGACACCTGGTAGATAGGACACCCATGTTCCATCTGGAACTTCTGGGAATGGAGTTCTCTGCAGTTGTCTACTCACACCACCTGTCACACTTCCCAGTCCTGTCACCCTCAACCCCCCCACCTGCCCCTATAGCCCTGCCCAAGGCCACGCCCTCCCTGCTCCAGCTGTGACCTGAAAGAAGCCTCTCCTGGCGTGGCCGCATGATCACCACAACACAGGAAGGAGTCTTCAGGCTACACAGCTGGCTGGGGACAGGGGTCAGGAGAAGGACTAGACGGGCACAATGGGGTCTGTACATACTCTGGAAGGATACTCAATTAATTCTACAACAAGGGCCGATCATTTTTGTGACTCAGGAAAAAGTGAACCTTTTGGTTGGGTTTCGTATTTTTGATGAGCTGAGGATGGAAACTAGAGCTCTGCACACACTGGATCAGAGCTCTACTGCTGAGACACTCCCAACCTGGAAAAACCCTTGGGGTTTGGATTGGTTTTCATTTTTATTTATCATTTATTTTTAATTATGTGTATGCATCTGTGTCTGAGTGTAGCTGTGTGCACTCGAAGAGGTCAGAGGCATCAAAACCCTGGACCTGGAATTACAGGTGGGTACTGGGAACCACACTTAAGTGCTCCACAAGAAGAGTCAGTGCTCTTAACCGCTGAGCTCTCGCTCCAGGCCCAATCTTTATTTATTTATTATTTTTATTACATTCATTTGGGGGTATGCACGTGCCATGGTGCTGATGGGTGGGGGATCAGAGGATAGTTTGTGTTCTCTCCTTTCACAATGTGGGTCCTGAAGATGGAAACTAAGTTGCCAGGCAAGGTAGCCAGCACCTTTACTGAGCTATCTTCCTGGTCCTGTTTTGTTTTGTTTTTGTGGTCTTTTTGTAACAGGGTCTCCCTGTAGCCCCAGCTGTCCTGGAACTCACTATGTAGACCAGGCTGGCCTTGAACTCACAGAGATCTGCCTGCCTCTGCTTCCC